GTGGGGGCGATATGCTGACTCTGTAAACCGCTTAGAGAGGGCTGAAAGCCCTATGAAGCGGTATATAAGTCTAACTGCTATTGCTATTGCTATTTATGGATCTAGGTGGTAATGTCTTTCTACTTGAGTGGTGGTTCTTTTTTTTTTTCCAGGCCTGTCGGAAAAACGAAGGAAGAGACGGTGTGGGCTAACCCATTTATCCCGCCAGGCGGTTCTCTCTCCCCCAACTCGAGGCGACTCCACGGGAGATTTAAGCCTGCTGCTTGATTTGTATAGGGAGCGATGCTGTGGATTTTGTACATAAACTTTTCTGCCTAGATCACATTGTAAAGGGAAATATTCAGAGCAGGGATATCCAATTTTGACAACTTTTAAGACCCCGTGGACTTCAACCCCCAGAATTCCCCAGCCAGCATAGCTTAGAATTCTGGGGGTTGAAGTCCACACACCTTCGAGTTGCCAAGGTTGGACATCCCTGATTTAGAGGCCGAAGCGTCTTATTTAGAAAAAAAAAAATCCTGCAAACCTTTCGGCTGTGCAGAGAGGAAAGCTTAATAACATTAGGTCAGAAAGACAGATGTTTTGGGATGGCTCACTTTCCCTTTTAATCCAGGGGGATGAATAGTTTACAGTGCTGGTTCTCAGGGGTAACATGTTAGAAAACTGGGATCTGAAGATCTTCTCCGTCGGCCAAAATAAGTGATGGGCTAACCAAGATCTCAGTTGCCTTGAGTCCAGAGCCCATAATTCGATGGCCTGTTTCCTAAGAGGCTCTCAAGATACCTCAAAGCGGGTGTGCTGTCAGTAGGGCTTGAACTAGTAGCTAATTGTGCCTTCCCTCAAAAGTTCATCCTCAGCTCCCAGGGGTGTAACTCACCCATTAGTGCATTAAACTTCCATGCACGCACATCACTGCTGTTAGAAAATGCAATTGTACCCGAGCTTCCATAGGAAGGAGAAACAAACTCACTTCTAAAAGTTCTCCTGTTTATCTTCTTGGGTTAATATTTTATCCTTGCATAGATACACATAGGTAAAGCCTGCAGACATTCCTCCTTTTCTACTGATTTCGGTCTTATAACTCATCTGAACTCATTTAATAAGGTCCAAGTTTTCCGCCAGTTCTTCCTGCCCCGCCGGGCTTTTTCTCCAGCCTGCCACCCCAACCCAACTTCAACTCAACCATGGATGGCCACCAGAAGGGTGAAATTCATGCAAAAGTGAAATAAGATAGATTAAAAACCCAGGTTGGTCCTTCTTCCATAATGCATGTCCAAAAGTACAATCCTGACCTGCTAAACTCCAGCCTTCTGGGTCTTCCGTATCATGTGGAAATATTTGGTCTACATTGAATGACCAAGCCACAAGCCACGTTAGATGGGGACATCAGGAAATTGCCCTCTCCACTGATCTCGAGGGCTTCCCAGGTTAGGGAAGGTAGATTGCCAATGATGGGCCACAGTTCTAAAGAACATACAGTCCAAGTATAAATGTTTTAAGATTGGGTGAAAAGTTTGCCGTAGCTCTGGAGTTGAAAGCCTTTCTGAGTTGCTTAGAAGCATCTGAAAGCTTCTCCAGTGGGAGGAAGATTTAACAACAAGCATGCTTCTTAAAAGCCTAATTTGGTTCACGTTGCTAGCCTTGGCTACGAATGGAGATAATTGAACCCCCGAATGCGATACCTCCCGAATCCTTGTCTCTATTCAAGGTTCTCCCTTTGAAAAGCCATTCAGCCATTCCTGAAGCTTCATTCCAATTAGACCTCCATCTTCCATCATCTTTTCACTAGGGGTAGAATCCCTTCTTCCCGGAATGAAGAGTCCAAACAGTGTACATTCTAAGGGCCTCCCGAATCACAGATCAAACCCTGAGCCCGTTTGAAGAAATTGGCACTTCCCGTGCGACCTTGGACCACGCGCCCCCCTACTCCTTGCCTGCCAATAGTGCCCCTCATTGTTATCGCCAGCTACACAAAAGCAGAGCGCATCTTTTGAACCCTCCCACAGTGCTATGCACGGGGTTACCTCACTTGGCTTTTGACCATCTGCTGTTCTGCCCTCTGTTCAGCAGGTGGCGCCATAGCTATGTGCATGCGTAGGTATGCGTGCCCCCCAAGCACATGTATGTGCGCATAACAGGTGGTGCTACTCCTTTGGGTTTCCCGTGGGTTGAGACAACTCGTTACTCAAATCCTGGAGGGATTTTTCTCAACCTCTTTGCTCCATCCCTCTGCAATAGTTGCGTAAGGGTGTAAACTGCCGTTGAATAGAGTAAATCCCAGAGAACAGGAGAGTTTTTAAAAAGTTCTGGGAGGATTTGGCTGTTTGGGGATCTACAGCATCCAATCCTTCGTTTCACTTTTCCTACCTCCTCATTAGTTGGGCCTTTGGTTCAATCAGGGTTGGGGGATTAGTTGTTGCTGAGCAACTACAGTCTGCTTCCTTCCTTGTGGGGGGGGGGGAGAAAGTCTTACTGGTGTCAGAATGGAAAATGATGGGTTAATTGGGGGATACTGGGAAAGACCGAGAGGAGAGGAGAGAAGTTTGGATATAGGAAGGAGAAAAGTGATGGTGTTTACCCCGGAGCAGTGTTTTTCAACCTTGGCAACTTGAAGACGTCTGGGCTTCCACTCCCAGAATTCCCCAGCCAGCATTCGCTGGCTGGGGAATTCTGGGAGTTGAAGTCCAGACATCTTCAAGTTGCCAAGGTTGAGAAACACTGCCCCAGAGGGAATATAGAGCAGGGAAGGAGGAAGAAATAAGGGCCCAATCCACCAGCATCTTCAGAGACAGGCCTTGATTCAAATGCTTCCAAGTGTCTTTATACCGTCTTGATAATGTGCTTGTATTTTAAGAAAAAAACATTTTTTTTGCGGGAGGGACTGAGAAACGGTTCCAATGTTAAGGGAATGATGGGGGGGAAATCCAGGGCTGTTTTACGTAGAACAAAATCATGTTTAGTTGTGTCTATTTTTTTTTTAAAAAAAAATCCATTGCTGTACAAAGCGTGTAAACCAATATATATTCCACGATATTTTTTTTCCTTTGACCTCCCAGTATTATGAAGTATAAGATTTTAAAGGGCTGGAGAAGCGGATGTTGGTCTGAAGATCTGTTGTTTTCACAGCTGATGTCTTCTGCAGTGTTAAGAAATATTCTCAAGATCGTCCCTAGAACTTCCCTACAGATACATCATTTCCAGCTAAGATTCTGGCTTCCCTCTCTCTGTTTTTTTAGGGCAGAAATTAAAGGAGAATACATTTCTCTTTTTCATTTCTATAATCAGGTGGCGCCCTGATCTGTGTTTCTCCCCTAGTTGTACCATAGAAGGAAATGTAATGTGATCGGAACATCCTTCTATATTTTATGCCTCAAAAAAACAGACATGAAAAGCCATTTCCCGGTTTTGATCAAAGTGTTGAAAAACATTGGCACACCTTCAGGACTGCCAGAGCATTTTTGGTACCTAATTTATTTATTTTTTTAATCTGCTCGCTTGGTGGCTGGGTCATAGCCCCCAATTCCAAATTCTTGGGAAATTGTGAAGCTTAACCTGTGATGCGAAATCCTCCATTTGCCAAATTCAATATTCTTAAACCAAAGTGCATAATTCAGTGGTTTGGGGATAAATATACATTATATTAATGAAGATCCTTATAATACGGGATGGGCTATTTTTTAGTCGTATCTGTAGAGATTTTACTTGCTAGACCAGTGTTTCTCAACCTTGGCAACTTGAAGATGTCTGGACTTCAACTCCCAGAATTCCCCAGCCAGCATTCGCTGTGCTAGACCATACATGAGCTCAATTTCCTGATTGCTGGGATATTTGAACCGGCTTCAACAATTTGCTCTGGATTTATTTTGCTCTACCACATGTCCAATCCCAAAATAGCAGGAATTTTACAATTGTAAATACGATAAATACCATTTGAGACCAAAATATTTAAGTCGACTACTCTTTATCCAAGCTGAACCAGGCGGCTTAAAGATTCTTAAAATATTTGTTTGTACCCAATTCTACACCCGTCTCTTGTCGATTTGTGCTTGAGATTTTCTGACCTGGGAAACGCGTCTCTAAAGGGATGGGCAGTTTTGTGTCCTTCAAACCCACTCTGGACCAAGTGGCGCAAAGTTCACTTTATTTCCTTCCTTTTCCTGGAGTTTTATGGCAAAATGGTCTTGAGAATGTTTTCATAACGGCGCCATGGTTATGCTCAATGGAATGGTTCATTGTGGATTTCAGTTCACACGTAAAGCAGAAAGACCAATGTTATGGTGCAGGGTTTTTTATAAGAAAGCATCGTGGGAATGGTAGAAAGAGGGAAGGCCTCTTAAGAGCCAAGTCCAACTATTTTGCCATCTGTTCAATGACGGGATGAAAAGGAAGGGTAGGTATTATGGGATATTGCAATGTTTTCTGCCCTCCCTTAGGAGCATACGGGTTGAGACTCCTGCATCCCATCCTTTTCACTGGCTTCCTTGGTCTGATCCTCTCTCTAGATCTGTTGGATTACAACTCCCAGAATTCCTCCTAGCAAAATGTGTAAGGAATTCTGGAGGGCTCTTAAGGTAGAAAAGATTTGAAAACTACGTAGGTTGCAAAAGGGGTGAAGGCAGAGGAAAGTGAGCAGAATAAACCAAAGACAAACTTGTAAAAAGATATATGAATAATATTCATTCATATATATATATATATATATATATATATGAATATAATAAGAAATAAATCTTATCTTTCCATTTCCTTTGTCCTTCTCATGTATTTGGGGTTTTTTTTTCTCTTGGATTTTGGTTCCTTGGAGCTGTGATGGTAAAGTTGCCATGAATCTTCACCCTTTGTGTTCCCCAGCATGAAAACAGCACGACTTTCCCTGAGACCCTTGTGGGGTCTTCTGCCTCTTTAATAGGTTGGGTGGGAGAGCCAATGGACAAGGGTCTCTATTAATATATGGATTTTAAACCAATATCTCGCCTTGCCCTAATGGCTCTTCAGAAAGATAAGAGGGAGAGAGGTCCTTTCTGGGCATTTAAGCCTTGTCTAATCTTTCTGGGAACTGAATGTCTAGTACAGTGTTTCTCAACCTTGGCTACTTGAAGATGTCTGGACTTCAACTCCCAGAATTCCCCAGCCAGCGAATGCTGGCTGGGGAATTCTGGGAGTTGAAGTCCA